ACATTTTGGAGAAATTAGGTTTTATGCCCCTGCCTGCCCCCCCACCCCCCAAAGGAAAAAAAAAGAAAAAGCAGACTGTTTCTTCACATGTTTCTTTCAAAGAATATAAACTCTGTAAGCCTCTTCTCTATTTCTCTGAATTTTCCCATCATTTTAATTGATGGAAGAATCAAAATAGAATATAGCATTCCTGCACAGAGTGTATTGGTGACATCAAGCCTGCTGCTGTTGTATTTCCCATCCCTTGCATCCTGTTTCTTGTGTAGGCTGGTGGTCCTGGCAGCTGCTGGTGCCAAGCTGAGCAGGCATGCACTGAGGGATCTAAACCCTCAGCCAATTCCTCTGTGTGTGATTGCAATTTAATTAGCACTCAGCAAGCTGTCTGAACAGGTGAAGTGATTATTTTTGGTATTTGTCCCTTTGTGCTGTCATTATTTTCTGAATAATTCCATTAATTTTTCATTACAATAATCCCCTCTCCATCTTGTTTCAAGAAGGCCAACAAACATAAATGTCATTAAGTCTCTATATGGAGTAGGAAAGCACCTTTTGGTGTTGCCTAACATGTGTAAGAGAGTAGATGATGAAACAGTTCTGAAAGGTAAAATAAACAATCAACACTTATAGAGTCAGCATTCCCAAAAGCCAAAGTGATGTTTGGATGAAAGTTTTAGTCATGATGGGAAGACAGTCTGCTCATGTGAGAGGACTCATTTTCAGTTCAATGCTTCTGTAAGTATATATGTATATATGTATATATTTTGCATAGATAAATATTTATCATAAGCAGAATAAATTTTTAAATATATATATTTTTAGATATATGTATATGAGCCTGATGGAAAACTTCAGTCAGTAGAGCCTTTGCACTGCTGCTGCTCTCCCTTCCTTCCCACACACAGCATGTTTACAATTCCTCTGTTCTCTCTCTTTCCAGATGCAGCCAGTTGGACAGAAGCAGCCTTATGGTGCCACAAAAATTGTCCAGTGTCCATCTCAGGTAAAAGCACTTCCTTGTTATTCTGTGATTTTATTTATTCTTTGCAGAATTTCCAGATTTTCAAATACACTTGTTGTTTTCTGAAGTTTTTGGAAATGTGTACTTGCCCAAGTTACTGCACTGTTCCTAAAGTTCATTGACACAGAGTCTATTTCCTATAGATGAAACTCTGAAAAAAAGAACTTTTGAAAAAATGTAGTTAAATCATCTCTGTCAGATTTCTTTTTCAAAAATATATCTAGCTAATCTGAATTTATTTATTGCAGATATGAGGTGCCTTATCAATATTCATATTTGTGTCACCAATAAAATTGAATCCGTATATTTTATATAATCTAGCTTTTCTGTGATTTGCCTCTGCTGTCACGTTTTACTAATTTAGTCCCTGGAGCTGTCAGTAGTCAGGATTGGAGCATCTCATGTTCAAAGAACAGGTTTTTGTATCCTGCTGCATTTCAGCTCTGACTTCAATAATTTGATAGTGATAAAATATTACTGGCATCCAAAAGCTTCTGAACAGCAATTAAAATATCAAAGAAGTAAAATTTTATGTTTTGTTTGATGTTAAGTTTAAGGCAGGCAGTGGTGCTGTGCCTAGAGCATACCTAGGACAGGGCTTCAGACCAGGGCTTAACTTTCAGGTCTAACCTGATTTACTTCACTAATGCAATGCACTCACTAATGCATTCAGAAATTAATACTGTAAAGATTTTTTTCTCTTGGAAAATGTAGCCAGAAGACTTTAACGTCAGCTGATGTGTTTCCACTAGCATTGGTAAACATAACTCTCTTTGCTCTGCAGGAAAATCCATATTTGTTTACGTATAGAAATAGTAACTACTCATCTTCCCTGGGGACATCAAACCGCCAGGAAACATCTCAGGTATGGCAGGAGTGTTTGCATCCATGGGCTGGGTGTGTTCCAGGGAGTGGGGCAGGTGGGTAAGAGTGTGCTCTAGCCTAAATAAACAATGCTACCTGGGAAAACTAAATGCAAAACTCCAGTGTTTTACTTCTGTGCTTGACTAAATAGTCAGATATTTAATAGCACATTCTCTCCTTGGTGCGTTCTGTTGAGTGTGAGTAAGGTATGTGTGTTCAGTCAGCCCAAAGTGAGTCTTGCCTTCAATGGTAAAAACCTATGTTAAACATCTGAAAAAAAAGGTTATTTTCCCTGGGATAATAAGATAGTGAAAATGGGGCTATTTAGTGCTACTATGGAAGAAACTAGATCAGATTTTTTTTTGAGAGAGATAGTTTCACATTAGATGTGCGGAAAAAAAGACCCATGATTGTGTTTTTTAAGTCAGAGTACTCTGATTTTGAGCAGAACATGGTGTTCCTGAGCAGGAACAGAGTGAGTTGTTAATGTTCATTTTCATGCCTCAGAATACAATGCCTAGACCATCTAGACAAAATGGCCTTTTTGTAACTGGAGTTGTAAGATGCATTTCTGTTCACATTTTTATATAGTGCCATCTGTTTTGTTGGTTACTTGGGCTGTACAGACCTTGCCATGAGGCAATGGTACCTACCACTCTGGTTTTTGAAAATAGCTGTATTATAAGAGGTGTTAAGGATGTAAGGAGCAATACTATGTTATGTTTGTTGTTGTTTTGTCGGGTTTTTAAATTAAAAATTAAAAACCCCAGCCAGAGAAATGAGACAAGACATATTTAGTATCTTTTCCTTAGGCAAGCTAGCCTACTTAAGGAATTCTGCAGAGAGATTTGAAGCCAAAGCACATATTTGAGTCTTGTGTGATGGTTTGCTCTGGAATATTGATGGTAAGCCCTTCACTAACAGTAGACTTTAGGGGTATTTCTGTCAGTAGGCTGCAAACCAAAAGAGCCAGGAGGACAAATCCCTGGCTGCACATACAGGACTACACGTGCAGAAGGCAGGCTCATGGCCTGCTGACAGAGGTATGGTTTTGTGCTAGGACATTTCAGGGATGTTCAAACAGTTCCTTGCAAAAGATGGTCAGGGTATGGGCACACCAAAGTTGCATAGCTGAACACAACATGGCTCAGAGTCTAAAGCAACTGGCCCCACTGGTAGGCAAGAGTTGTGCTGCATACATAAGGCTGCACAACTTCTGAGCAGGCTGAGTTTGTGTCTGCCTTCAAAAGAACTAGGCTGAGCTGGGTAGCTGTATACAAAATACATGAGGATTTCATTAATCTTATGCTCTGAGATGTAAATAGATTGTCATGACCAAAGTATAGTGAGACTGATGTGAAGTCTTACCCTGTCTTTGCAGGAGAGGAGTTATGGAACAAATTTTCCCTGTCCTGACCGGTTTCCCTCTGATACAGTTCCAGTTTCAGGTATAGTACTATGGTTTTTTGTCACAGAGCTACTTCATTTGATGACAGAAGGAGAACAGAACTGGGTTTACTCAGGAGAGGTACTCTCTTCTTTTCAGAAGTGCTCTTTGTTGACTGTGGTTTTTAAGAGCCTTTTTGGAGCAGTGTGAGCAGTTGTATAGCAAGATGTGAGTTCACTGCCTCAAGGGTGATGAAAGTTTATGCAGCTGCACTTTCCATGTACAAAGAAAGAAGTGACAGTGGAAAATATAGGTGGCAGCCAGGTCCTTCATTTCCAGGGTGAAAAAACCATATGGGGCTCTTGTAATGCAGTCTGAGGTGCAAAACCCCATATGGAGTTCCTTGGGTAGATTTTGTCTTTCCTCAGAATCTGTGATGGTTCTAAATATCCACTCTGTGCTGGCACCAGAGCTGTGCCTGATTTTTAGTCATTTTCAACAGTTAAAAGAAATTTGAGGAAGAACAAATGCAAGACTGGAATCTTGCTGCCTCCTTTGTCCCTGCAGCTACTGCCCAGCTATGGTACAAGAGTAAATTCTGATTTGATGCCTATCAGTCTCTGTCATTCTCAACTGATGCTGTCATGAGTATTAGAAACACTGTCTTTGCAATGCTTTATTATGCTTATTCTGAAGAAAACTTATAATAACCATCACAATTTGTAGTTTTCTTCCTTTCGTTTTTTCTTTCCCTTACATTATCTTTGGGTTTTTTCCAGTTCATAATTTGAAACCGGCAGATATTCAGGTGATTGCTGCCCTGGGAGATTCACTCACAGTAAGTAAAGATCACTAGATTGCCATTGATAAAGCTAGCAATGAAAAACTTGCAATGAATTTTCTGATTTTTTAATCTGGGAAATGGTATACATACCGTGTCCTGTTGAGCCAAACACATTTTTCACTTTTTTTTTTTCATACTCCACCTTGGCTGATTGATAATCAGATTATGAGTCTAATCTGAGTGCAAAGTTCCCATTTGAAGTCCACAAGAGTGCCACACAAGGAAGAAATACAAGATTAGATTGTGTAGCAGCAAAATTATTCTGCTGGAGTGGACTTGCAACAATTGCTTTCTTTACAATTTGTTTTTACAATTTCTTTTGATTTTTGGCAGCTCCCAAGGTATTGGCCCTGAAAGCTATTAGTGAGCATCTTGAAGAAGAAAAAGTTCTGCATCTCATTGTGTATATCTGTGTATCTATATATTATGATAAATATATATCTATGATAATACCAAAGCCTATAAAGCCATAGTGATTCATACTATCTAAATATATGATAAAAATTGCAGTAGAACATCAGGTGTGTTGAGTTGAACTTGCCTTGAACTTTTTATTGTAACACTCTTCCTTGTTGTAATGTAAGGTCATTACCCCTAGACTGGTTGTGATTCTCCAATCAGTGGTGACTGCTTTACTGCTCATATAATAATTCATGTTTCCTACATGTTCTGTGCTAATTATCACATTAAATCCTTGTAGTCTTTTTCCTTGGTGGAACTGGGTAAGACATAGAATCAGTGTACAAATTTTTAATATGGGGAACTTTATAATAAATTATTAATTCAAGACCACTGCTGTCATATTTATTCTTTATGTAAATTTAGAATTATATGAGTATTTTGAACATTCTCAAGTAATTTTCCCCCACTTGATCAAATCATGAAGTTGATAGAAGAGGGTAATTCACTGGAGTGGAGTTAAAATACCTTCAGCCTTTGATCTTCTTGAGAACAGGAATCTGTTCTATTTTGAGAAGATGATGTAGCTTGCTTCATGATTATGCTTTTAAATTATTCTCACTAGCATGAGTCAGAGAACTAGTTACTGTAGCAATGCTTATTTTCTGAAGGTGAACTCCTCTTCTTCCTCCAGGCAGCTAATGGGGCAGGATCCAGACCCCATGATGTTCTGGATGTCCTGACTCAGTACCGAGGTCTTTCTTGGAGGTGAGTCCCAGAAATTTTCCCCTCAGTGGGAGAGAATCCATTTTCTTCAGTTTTGATTGATACAGTTTGTGTAGCCAATGAAGGCTTGTGGAAATTGGCTTTGATGTCACATTTTGCATGATGGCACATGGCTGGACTATTATTTGTGATAAAGAAAATACTCCAACTAGTGGATATCTAGAGTACCATGTAGCATGGCTGGAACAGACCTGGGTACGTGGAAAAATGGGGTCCTTGTTAAGAAGTTATTTTTCAGTCTCACAGTTGTGAAGGCCCTGGAAGAAGAAGACCCTAGAACAGGGTCTTCTAAATTCCATTGCCATTGCATCACTTGCTCATTTTGCATTTCTGTCCCTACTCTTTCTGTACCCTGCTCTTGCCCAGTGTGGCCCACATCACCCGTTTTTCTCATTTAAAATTGGTGGTCTACAAAAAAATATTTTATGCTGTTGATTCATATGCAGTATCTCTTTCCCTGATCCCTTCCCAGTATTGCTTACATCATGGAGAACAGTTTATCAATTTTGAGTCAATACTGATTTTTACATAAGCAGCATGTGGTTAGACACATCAGAAACACTCTGGAGAAAGGCAGTCACGCTCACTTGTTAATCTGCAACTGTATGATTTGACACCAAACTTGTCAGGCTGATCTTCTGTTCGTCACTTTTTTACCAATGTGACTGCAAAGTTTTTGGTCACATTTTTTACCAATGTGACCAAAGTCACTGCAACTTTAAAAGAAGATTAAACACATTCACAGAATCATAGGATGGTCTGGGTTGGAAGGTACCTTAAAGATCACCTGGTTCCAACCCCCGTGCCATGGGCAGGGACTCTTTTCACTCGACCAGGGTGCTCACTTTTCACTAGACAATGGTGCCACCATCCAGCTTGGCCTCAAGCACTTTCAGGGATGGTATTAGTGCAATTCAAAATCTGTTTCAGATTAAAAGGACACTATAGAGGTATTCTAAGTCAAACATTTTATATTTTGATCTTTAATAGTAATCCATTGTATTTTTTGTTTGCAAAAAGTATGCTAGTATTTTTTTCAGCATGAAGGAGAATAAAGAGCACACAGACATCACCAGTCTAGTAGTATTCTTCCAGTTGAGTGAAATGTGAATGGGGGGAAAGGCAATTTACTTAACACTCTGAAATATATGTTTTTGTTTTGGTTAGATATGTTAACTAAAAATGGAAGCTATAAATATTTTAATAGGTAGAACTGCAGCAAAGGTGGCAGCCTTGAAAAAAAAAATCTCATTTCTTCCAGCTGGGTTGAAACGTATGCCAAAACACGTGAAAGAGCAGAAAGGAGAGCTGCTGTACAGGGCTTCTAACATGATTGTTGTGCTGGAGCTGAGTGTCTTGGATGTGGTGGCCCCTGGGGACAGCACCCAGAGCATGGTGGGCTCAGCTCAGCCAGCAGCTCTGTACAAGTGTGGTAACCCAAAAGGGGGCACTCTGCCACCTTGTCCATTGCCTTGCCATCGTACCTTACCAGCCTTTTCCCCTGTTCTTTCTTTTTAACAGTGTTGGAGGAAATGAAAACATAAGCACAGTTACAACACTACCAAGTAAGTGTGCCTGTGGTGCCTGCTATTATAAACAGAGATAGGAGAAAAGGGTTAAAATTTATAGTGTGGCACAAACAATCCCTTGGTGTTTAATGTCCACTGCTGAGTAAAAGTTGCTTAACAACCAGGCTGTAATATGCTGTGCATGATTTAACTATGTGGTTTGTAATTCCTAGGTTTTGGTTGCTTCAGTATTATTCTGTCTAAAATGTGTTTGGTCACAGATGAATCAAAGGTCTTAGCTCACAGCCTAAAGAAACTATTTTGACTATATGGGAAAGTTGTTCTAGGCAGGGGCAGAATCACATTACAAGATCAGATTTTACATGCTTTTTAAAGGTCAGGACATTTTAGATCTGAGGTGTTTGTAAGGCTGGTTTGTAACCTAAGATCTAGAAGGGAATCTGGGGTCTTTGGGGTTAATACATCTGGGGCCATCAGGCTAAAGGATTTGATTCCAACCTGTCTGCAGTTAGAGCATGATGGCATGAGGTTCTCCTGAGTATATGGTTACTCAGCCTTGCTTACCAGGCAAAATGGCATTGCTAGCCAAAATGATTGTGTTAGGTCATGAGATATCTGAATTAATGATATTCAGAAATCTTGAAGGCAGGGAAATGTTTGTATGGTGATGAATCTCTGTGTTTATTATACTTAAAGGTTGAATTTATTTTTTTAAAATAGCTATCTCCTAAAGCTTTTTAATGTTCTTTTACTATCTCCTAAAGCTCTTTAATGTTCTTTTACAAAGTCTAACCTTTATTGCCTCATTTATTACCTGCTGCAGGAAACAATATTTCAGGGTGCTGTCTCTTTCCACAGATATTCTTCGTGAGTTCAACCCATCCTTGGTAGGGTATTCCATTGGCACTGGAACACAGAATTCAAAAAATGCTGCATTAAACCAAGCTGTGGCTGGAGCTCGTGCAGAGTAAGAGGAAAACTTTTAATTTTTATAGGAATTTGATTTTTTTCTATAAAATTCCTTGTGACTAAAAAAAGTCCAAACCCTGGACTTTGGCAGGACCATAATAAGTCTGATAGCCAAATATTTTTTATCCTAACTGTAGCATGAAGGCCAAGAAATGTGATGAGGACTTTGACAAGGATTAGAAACGCTGCAAATAAATTAGCAACAAAAGCAATACTTTCTCTGACATTTTAAGCCAAGAAAGCCACAGCATTTTACAAGCACTACTCAGAAAGCTGTCCTGTTGTGAGTCAGACAAAAGATATCTCCACTTTATAGGAGGTATATTCAAACCCTGTTGTCATCAGGATCAAGAGTTTGTGCTGAGAATGAGAAAGTTGTGGGTTGTTTAATTCCTGGTCTGCCAGAGCTGGGAATTAACTAGAGATCACTATGCACCCTCTTCAATGCAATTCATATCCTATTTTTTTTCCACTGGTAACAGTTCTTATAAGACCTACTTCAGTGCCTGTGTAATAACACTGGTATGAGCACAGACACTTCAGAGCTATGTCTATTGATAGCATCTGTCTGATGGTGAGAAGAGAAAAGTGCATTTCCTATATAGTTGGTAAAAGAGAAACTATGCAGCATTTGCAAAGTACCCCAATGCCCGTTGGATGCTAATTATTTTCTCTTCTTTCTTTTTCATCACTGTCTCAAAACATAGCCTTTGTTGCCTATATTACATATTCCATGCAATGAAAATAGGGCTTTCTTTGGGATCTTTTGGTTTTTGATGTCCATTCATCAGCTTTCCTCTTTGCCTTGTTATCTATGCAGGATTCTTTCTTTAAATTTTTATTAATGTATTTTATGATTTTATTATTCTTTTATTATTAGGGATGTTCCTGAACAGGTTAGGAAACTGGTGGCCCGCATGAAGAATGATACTGTGAGTTCAACATGTCATTAATATCTTTAGAATGAAGTGACATAGCATCATTAGTTTCTAACAGACCAAGAGCAGATCTCAACAGTGAATGCCAAACTTTAAAGCTGTAGGTTCAGCAGGGTACAGTGTAAGGCTTCCCAGTGCAGAGTGTGAGTTCAGCACAAAATAATCTATAGCTTAGTCATATATGAATTTGTACCAGCATATGATAGCTATTGTCAAAGCCAGATAACTGTAACCTTTTCATCATTTTTACTGCAAGTGGCTGTAAATGCAGTGCTGTTGCTTCTGCTTCCAACCTGTGTCACCCTGTAAGATAACAGAACATTTTCTCTGTGAGAATTCTGCTGTGGTGCTATTAATTATCTTGTAAGCAGGTGGTTTTTCCAGCAAAAATGATACATGCTAAGATGTTGAGGGCAAGCTTTTCAAGCTTTTTCATCGTGTGGAGTGAACATGTGAAGTAAGGAATGGACTTGTTTTCAAAAAAAACAAATCAGTCCCTTCTTTCATCTAGTCATCAGCCGATTTCTGACTTACACATTTATTGTTACGAATTATTTGATTAATGGTCTGTAAAAGACACATTAGGTTGAGGTTTGCTGACATATTTCTCAGCTCGTGCTTTGAATGTTTGCTATTTGTAATTTGACAAATGTGCTATGCAATCAGTGATCTAAGTTACACTATCATAGTTTGGCTTTCCAATGGTGCAGCTGGAAAGCAGCCAAAAAGCCTTCAAGATATCTGTGTGCATGTTTAGTGTAAATACTCTGGTGCATACATACTGGCAAAAATATTTGCAGTACCTTCCTTCTTGGTTTGCTTTCTTGTAAACAAGATTTCCATCTGATGGATGCATCTGAAATGAGATTAAAAGGAACAGCAACTAATAATTATTGGTTGGATGGTTTTCATTCAAGGTTTCTAAGCCCTACTCTGCCAAATTTATTGGCCTGAGAATGTTAACAGAAATTTATGGAAATATCTTTTATTTAGGTAATAAATGTTTATATAAAAACTTGTGAAGTTTCTTCTGACTAGAAAACATGCTCATAGTAGAGGTCATATATCTCTGATTTAAGAGATCATTTTAACCCCCACTTTTTAAAGTACTTGTTGACTGCAGGAAGAAGTTTGTCCCTCTTTTTGATTTTTCTTTCACATTTTGAGACCAAATTACTGAAGAGTATGTTTACTAGTGGGGATATATTGCCTGCAGCCTTTGAAGACAGATATTTTTAAACCACTGGAGGCTGATGCACAATTGGTGCTTTTCTTACTTGTGCTTTGCACTGAAATGAAAGCATTAGAATATTGAGCACAACATCCACAACATGCTGCTAAGCATATCTGAACCTTTCCTCAAAGCTAGGAAGTGTTTATTTACTGCAGCATAATTACCTTGATTTAGCTAGCTATCCCTTTGTAAAATCCTTGCAGAAACAAAAAGTGCTGTAATATTTTATTATTATTGTTAGGTAGAGTTAATATTGTCCCACTGTTCTTTGCACTTTGTCTCACAGCAAGTCTGAAATATATTGTCCCCCAGGGTTTACCAGCAGGATAGCTGCATTATTTATCACACAGCAAAACACATACCATCATTTTTGTTATGCAGATATATTTGTAGGACTGCAGGAAGAGTCACCCTGTATGCACAAGATATTACTAAGAAAAGCATACAGATAGATTTTGAGCAATATTTTTCTGAAGCAAATAGTTTTCTGTGATGCCATTAATTCTGGTTTAGATCACAGCAGTTTCTACATCTTCAGTCATGACTACAAACTTGTTTTTGTTGTGGATGCCTAGGGAATGATAGCCACATACTCTGAGAAATGGGAAATTTCTATTTAGTATGTTGCTGGCATCTCCCTCCTTTTCACTTTTTAATTAAAAACTTCTGTTCCGTCTCCTTCTCTGTGTAGAGAATAGATTTCCAGAATGACTGGAAGCTCATAACACTTTTCATAGGAGGAAATGACCTCTGCAAAGTCTGCGAGAACCCAGTAAGTTCCCTGCAGCATGAGCTGGGCCAGGGTCTTTATGCAGTGCAGGGGGTACGAGGGAGGAACTCGGTGGGGCAGACAAAAATACTGCAGGTTTTAATTGTGCATCTCTGGAATGTAACTGTGCTGAGACCTTCAGGTTGCTCAGCACAATGTTTCAATTATGTTAAAGATACCTTTGGAAGACCTGTAAATTACAAAATTGTTGCAACTTTAACAATTAAAGTTAATTAAATTGACAATTTAATTTAACAATTAAAGTTAACCATCTAGGATAACAATAAAATGTTATCCTAGCTGTTTTTGCTGCCAGCTAGGATAACATTTTGTTGCATGGTCGCTTTACCTCCTGCAGATAAAATACCAAGTGTTTTTACTCCTCTTTGTCTTGTCACACTCCTAAGTCTTATTTGGTACTCTCTTCATATTTTCAGTGCTATGGGAAAAGTTCTAAGCACAGCTCATGCTAATTCAATTATATGTAATCTAGTGTGTGTATATATATATATATATCTCATACATACAGTATCTAGCCTTTGGTATGTGTGATTGTAGAGGAGCTGGAAGGCTGTGGAAGGCTCCTCACTTAGTGATGAGGGTTACTTACTCACAGGCAGTTGAGCACATACTTGTCGTCCTTCATGATTAATTTTGGATCAGGAAGAACAGCAGAGCAGCACAGTAAGATGGTTATAAAACAAGGAAGGAGCAAATTAGCCATCCTTACCTTCTGCTGTCAACCCAAAAAGTGCCTGTTCACATGACTGGGGTGAGTGGCAAGGAGAGTGTGTGCATCCAAGGATCACAGTCATCTTCCTGTGGCACAAGTACAAATAGTGCCAAGCACAGCACTCTTGCTGAGCTGTGACTTAGGAAATGAATAAGGGATCTGAGCTGTCTGCTTCTACAGAGCAGGCAAGTGGGGCTCTCAATCAACTTCTGCTTGAAATTAAATGAGAGAGAAAAAAGGCTGAAAATAAGACAGGCATTTCTCAAAAGAAAGTTTATGTGACTGTTGTAGTCCCACAAGTGAAAAAATAAGTGTTGGATTACTTGAGACAATAAAATTAGTGTTTTTAAACCATTAAAATGGAACAAGGAAATTTTGGCACTGAAAGGCAAGTATATGAAGTGATTTCATCCTCAGCTAAACACGTAAGTTTTGCCCATTATTATTTGTGGCAGGCAAGGAACATATGGGAGACAAGTTCTAATATTCCATACAGCAGAAATAAACTTAGTTTTACACAAACTCTTCTCTCCCATATATGGCCCTTGTTAATGAGTTGTTAGTTGTGCTTTTAAGACCAGCCCAAGCAAGCCTAGGAATGGAGGATGTTGTGATGACTGATAAAACCCTGTGAATTTTCACCCTCACTGGTATCCGGTGGCTCCTGGATCTTTTCTTGCCAGTCTGATAACTGGGATGGGAAGGAAGCAAAGCAGAGACAGGACCATTTTGCCTACAGCTCTGTTACTTTTGACCCAAGAGTTAGAAACATAAACATTATTGTGAGGGACTCCAGCTAGTCATTCCTGTCCCTGCCTGAGTAAACTAATAATGAAATTCAACCCTCTTGCTTTAACAGGTACGCTATTCTCCTGAAAATTACACTTACAATATACAAATAGCTTTGGACTTACTTCACAAAGAGGTAAAGTAAACTTTTCTGGTATGTTGGAACAGGGATTTTCTGTTCTGTTTACAAAGTAGTCACTGATTATTGATTAAGAATTTATTTCCTTGTTTTCATCTGCAGAGTACTACTGTATCCAGAGGTGTTTGCTTACAGGAAAATCTTTGTGAAAGGCAAAAAGGGCTGGGGAAGCTTTTTACCAAAGGAATAAGGATATTCTTGGTTCTATCTGATGTCCTATGGACAAATAATATCAAAAAATGCTATAACAGAGTGGAACAAACATTATTAACTGACTGTAAAATGCTTTGCTTGTTCTTTAAACTGCAAATAAGTATATTTTTGTGGTCATTAAGAGAGAGATTCTGTTATTCCACATGAAGAATGATAAGAATACTTGAAGAGTTAGCAGGTGTCTGGGTATTGCTGAGACCTATAACATGTTGTATGGACCTTTTTGAAGACATCATTTTCAGGTGACCAGCTATCAACATTTAGACTCAAACTAGGCAGTGCAGGCAGGGGCTGTAATTTAGTATTGTTTGTGTGGGGAATTAATTATTGAGAAAGTACTTTGAACACCTCTGTTATAAATAAAACACAAGGCTTGAATCAGCAGGCTGCTACCAGGGTCTGCTGTGGCTGTGTAGGGACAAAACCAACACTCTGCTCCAGGAGTTTGCCATGGATTTGTTTGTCCTCTTGGCAGGTTCCACGGGCATATGTGAACCTGGTGACGATGCTTTACATAGCAAAGCTCCGGGAGCTGCATCAGGCGAAAAACAACAGCTGCCCAAAAGTGCTGATGAGGTTTGCAGATGATTTATGTTACAGCTCTCATTGCTGTTCAGAAGGCTGCAATGTCTTCTCGGGAAGTTTTTTCTCAAAGGGAAAAGGATCTAGTATTTCAGACTGCCAAACATCTTTCTCTGTGCATGTCTCCACAATTTGGTTTCAACACAGCGTTTAGAATAAGCTGTCTCTGTGGCTGTCTCTGAGCCCTGCTGTTATTGCTTCTTATGAACTTCTTATGCCACTTTTGACTCCACACTTACCCTGCAAGTGAGTTCAAGCCAGAGCAGAGAAAGCTCAGCTGGGCACTCTTGGTGAAAATAGAGAAGACACTAAGACACAAGGTTTTCTAGTTCTATTTACAGATTTACTTTTCTGCACTTAAAACTCTCCCTCTTGCTTCTGCAGTTTTTAGTCTGTGTAATCTCATTGCTGGTTATTAGTTTTATCTGTAATTAGTGTCTCAAGTAGATGTTTTGGATGCTTAATTGTTGCTTTATATCTCAACAATCCTTTCCAGATCAGTGTTAATCTACTACTGAGGTGGCAGGCCTGTACCCTGAGTGGACTTTTGGTGACTCAGATAGGGTCCAGCATTGTCCCCTGGAGTTGCTTCTGGCAGGATTTGCTTGTTTTCAGAAAAGTCTCTGCTTTTCTGGACAGGTGGGGAGAATAACTTTGTCCTGTGGATGTAGGCAGCCACTGGTTTTACAGAAGAGACAGAGATACAACCCTCTTGCTGTGACTGAGTGCCTTCCTCGGGGCTGCCAGTGGAAAATTTGGTTTTGAAGCTCAGGGTGCTGGTACTCCCAATAGCCAGTTGTAGTTCTTTTAAAAATTTTATTTATTTCTTTTTACAAAGGTTGCTGGCTAGAATACACAGGTATCTCCAGGCCTTATTCACTGGACAAGGATAGTTAGCAAAGCCTTTAGGTTAGATTATCTGATGATAGCTGTAATCTTCCCACATAACTTCAGGTGCCATGCTGAATTTAACATTTGCCTGTCTGGCAGCAAGCCAAGTTTGCAGGGTGATAAGCAGAGCCCATGTGGGACAATAAATGCCATTCTACTGAGTAGAAGAACCACCTTAAGGAAGATTTTTATCTTGAAAGCCTTCTCTTTTTATTCTGAGAGTAGCAAACAACTTAAAGAGAATATGTGTCTACTAAAGTTGCCTATCATGTTTCTGAAACTTCTTAAAACACAATTTAGATTTGTATTGTTCTCATATAGATGTACTGTGGAAGTAAAAGCTTTTGTTAGCTGGTCTCCATTAAGACCAGTTTGGACACAGTAGGGATCTGTGTATATTTTACTTGTATCAAATGCATCTCTGTAGGAGGCTTTCTCTAAGAGCTCCCTCAGGGATGCTTTACTGTGGTCACACTGTCAGGATATTTGAAAGGAGTCCTTCTTCTAATTTGGATTTCTGAAGAAATGCCCAGG